ACAGCAGAGGGGAAAATGAGAGACCAAAAGGTAATTCCTAAGGAAAACAACTTCTTCTTCTCCTTCCTTCTTCCTCCTCCCCAACCTCTTTTTGGAGACAGGGTCTCACTGTGTAGCTCTGGCTGTTTCCGGAACTCATTATATGGAGACCAGGTCACCTGCTTCTGCCCTCCAAGGGCTGGGACTAAAGACGCGTAGCACCACACCTAGCGACATCTACGTTCTTGTGAGTTGAGACTGATGGCACACACCAGTGTTTGGGAAGATGATTACTGTAACCGTTGCTTTGGGTTACTTGTGGTGCGTGGCCCCACTTTTTGTTCATAGTTGGCTGAGTCTTATTAGCATCATGATACAAGCAAGTGCAATATGTGTGTTTTTTTAAGTTAAAAAGATGCACAGATATAAACAGGTCCTTTAAAAGAACCATTAGGAAGAGAGAAGCTTATGGTTTCTTCTACAGGATCTTTGAGCATCAGAAAGCTAACTGCTCAACTAGGAAATCATTTATCTTGTCCTATAGAAAATGTGTCTCATGAATGATTAACACCTTTCTTCCAAGCATTTGGCATCTCTTTTGATCAGTAAAGGATCACCCAACTTAATCAAATTATTGCTCTGCTCAGTTATGTCCAATTCCTATGTGGGCATGGCATTTTCCTACAGTGCACACACATTTTTTTCCTGGAATGCCTCTGCACAAGTTAAAAAAAAAACACAATACTTACAGATTCTTTGGAGATGTCTGGTTAGGAAAATTCAAATGTCTCTTCAGTAGAGACTTAATCTGGGTGCCTGGGTTGACAGGATCCTGAGTTACATGTCGGTGATTGTGTATTACCCGGTGGTAGACCGGCTGGGTCTGCATCTTGGCCTGGCTATGGGCCAGGATGTGAGACCACAACTTCTCTGAACCTCACTTTCCTCATTTGTCAGATGGAGACAATTACAGCGCCTACTTTATACAGCTGTGGGGATTAAGTGAGCTACAATTCTTAGCACACGGAACAATGGTGGAGTTAGAGTGAGCACACGGAACAATGATGTAGTTAGAGCGAGCATTAAGCATGAGCTATTCGTGAGACCTGCAGGGCTACTTGACTAAAGCTTTGTTTTTAATCTGTTTGTGGTGCTGGGACTGGATTCCAGGCTTCCTGTAATGGTACAGAAGTGCTCTGCCATGGAACTACATTCCATGATTAAAAACTTAAAAAAAAACAAAAACAAAAAAAACAAACAACCTAAAACCTAAATTAACATTTTTGGGGGGTCTTACACTACAGCCCAGGTTGTCCTGGAATTCACTATGTAGCCCAGGCTGTCCACAAATGTAGGCACTCCTGCCTCGGTCTCCTGAGTTCTGGGATTACAAGCATGGTATCTCGATACCATCTCTGCTCTTGGTTTATTTAAAGCATTTCTTTTCTTCATGTTATTTCACAAGTGTGTAACAGAAATTGGAATAACAAGGTCTCACTATATAGCCTTGGCTGGCCTTGAACTCAGAGATCTTCCTGGCTTTGCTTCCCATGTGCTGAGGATTAAAGGCACCTAGCTGAAAGTCTTTCTATTGAAAGAAATTCCCCCTCGCAGGCCAATGAAAACCTGCTCACTGCTAGGGTATCAGAAGAAGCAACTGCACCTGATATGGCCCTTCCTGCAAGGCTTTCCTATACTTTACTTTTTAGCCATATCATCAAAGTAATAGCGGGCTTTGTTGGCCACGGGGTGACAGACAGCCATTTGCCAACTTAACATTTTGACTTGAGGCAACATTTTGAGATATCAGGGACATTCCTTCTCTTTCTCACCACAGTCCAAAGAGTCGTCTTTCCGTCAGTCCAGATCCTCTTGCAGTTTCAATCCATTAGGGCAGCTTCTATTTTCTACTAAGAAACTGCTGAAAAAGCATGTCCAATATGCATTTCAGAGACTGGTGAGTCACGTGGGACAAAAGCTGCTGGGGGTTGTGTGCTTGGACACAGGTGACTTCCAAATAGTGCACTGCGAAAGTTTCTGTTTTTTTTTTTTTTTTCCCCTGACAGTCTCCCTGTGTAGCTCAGGCTGCCCTGAAACTCAAGGTCCCACACTGCCTCTACCTCCTCAGTGCTGGGGTTGTAAGTTATGCCACCATATCCAGTGAAATGATTATTTTTGTGAAATATTCCAGTGGCCTCAGTTGCCTGAAAGCACAGGACGTCTCACACCACTGATAAGACACAAAGCAGTTTTGTTTTTTCAAACTGACTTATCATCCTATATTACTTTCAGAATTTGTGAGCACATACTTTGTACCTAGCGAGGAATTCTTTATATTAGTGAGTAGGCGTGCTGGTGAAGGCTTGTAATTACAGTACTCAGGGAAGGAAGGCAGTGAGTTTAAGGTTACCCTCGGTTTCATAATGAGATCCTGTCTCATAAAAAATAAAAAAAAAATAATGTGAACCTTACATTTATTTTGCTGGGGAGACTTACATGTATGAATTAAAGTGGCACGTGTGAGAGTTTGGTACAGACCAGATAAAGGATGACAAGGAGGCATTTCTATTCAACAGGATAGGTGGCATTCAGACTTTTGATGTATAGAATGAGGGGTGCCAAGCGCAAAGAAAACCGAACATAGGGTTTTTGTTTGTTTGGTGTGATCTCCAGAAATTAAATTGATTTCCTGAGTTAGGGGTCTATCTTCTAGACAGTCTGTATCCTTTAAACCTAAATTACAACACAAACAATCTGCTCTCAAACAACCCTTTTCACCTCTGCCTACAAAAAAAAAAAAAAAATCCTGGGTGAGATTTATTCTTGGTTACAAGCACAGCAATGCGCTTAGAGAGGTTCTGACATGGATTACTTCGGAGGCAGCTAACAGGAAACTGCCTCCAAGCAAACCTGTTCACTTCACATCCACGAAATGTACTTTTAGTTTAAAAAAAAAAAAAAAGAAATTGCGGCTGGTCCTTTTGCTTTTCTAGCCCTAAAAGGGATTCTTCACTAACCTCCTTTAAAATTCCACTAAAGACCAAGCCTTGCCCTTTTACCTCTCCACAGGGGCCACACTATGGCCACAAAGACAAAGAATGGCTGGAGGGAAGCTTCACCTGTTGGGTGAGTGAGCTGGCCCCGCAGGCTTGCTTCTACCCTCCAGGTAGGGAGGGACAGCGAGGGCCGCTCCCTTCGGAAAGCGCCTTCCCCTGAAGGGGCTCGGGAGATGCGTGGCCGACGGCGGTGCCCTCTGCCAGCAGCCTCGCCCCTGCCCTTCGAAGGGCGAGGGACCGCGTGGCAGCCACCAGCGCTCTGCAACAAAAGGTGTGGGGAGACCCCGGCTCTGGGGGGAGCAGGAGGATGGGCATCCCCCAGGTGCGGCTCGGAGATGGAGAAGGAGGAGGAGGAGGAGGAGGAAGAAAGCCTGACTCATGTCGTGGCAGCGGCGGAGGGCTCCTGGGAACTGCAACTCGTGATGCTGTTGCCGAGGAGAAAAGCCTCATTAGCTATTCCGCAGAACCGGGGGACACCGCCCCGGGGGCTCGCACGCCCGAGCCCGAGCGCTCCCCACCGGCCTCGCCGGGGGTCCGCGTGGGAGAAGCAGCGGACACGCCTAAGCAGCGCGCGCCCGCGTGGCACCACGCCCCACCCCAGCCTCTCCACGCGACCCGGATTCGCTCGCTCGCCCAAGTGCCCCACCCCCACCGCCCTCGGGCGGCGGCGGCTCCGCCGGCCTTCGGCAATTTCCGTGGAGACGGAGCCGAGAGCTCGGCGGAGACCGAAGACGGGCCGCCTCCCCGAGTCAGACCCGGCTTTATGTCTGCGGCGCCGGCGCGCACGCGCAGACGCCATCTTCCCTCCTCTCCTCCGCGACCCCTCCCCCCGCCTCCTCCCCCCCGCCTCCTCCTCCTCCTCCTCGGTCGGCGCTCGACCCTCCTCCTCTCGCGCTGGGGCGCTGGTCCCTCCTCTCTCGAGGCCGCGAGAGACCAGGGGCTCCGGAGCTGCCCGAGAAGAGCGCTAGTAACAACCACCACGGCCCCCTCCTCGCCCGACGCCCTCCCACTCCCCCGCCCCGCGCCGCCACCGACCAACCCCACCTCTCATTTCTTTGAACGGCGTCGGCTGCGCTCGCCGCACCAGCCCCGTCTGGCCGCCGCCGCCGCCGCGAGAGGAGTCGCCGCCGCCCGCGGGCCTCCTCCCTCCCTCCCGGTCGCGGGAGCAGCGCGGGTGCCGAGCCAGCCGGCGGGGCAGAGAGGAGGACGCGAGCTCGCCCCTCCGCTCCCGCGCACGTCCCGCCGTCCGCCGGAGCAGCCCGGGCGCCGGCGCCCTTCCTCCCCCGAGGACGTGTGCCGAGCCGGGCGCCTGCCCCGAGGGAGGAAAATGCTCGGGCTCCATGGCTGCCAGTGATGGAGCGGTCCCTGGGCTCCCGCTGCCGCCGCCACCGCGCCCCGGCCGCGCTCCGCGAGGACCCGGCGTCTCTGCGCGCCCGCCCGCGCCTCGTTGCTGGGCTCACCGTACCGGGCGCCCCGCCGCCGCCGC